AAGTAGATTGCTGCACTGCTACCACCATAAAGCAGGCAGCTGTTTGGCTGTATGACAATCTGGCATGCATGGTGGTCACCCATTAATGCGCTGTTCACGATCAACCCCTATTTAGCTCAGATCTGACGATATTGGGCAGATTCCCAGTGATTTGTTTATAGGTCATTAGGCAATATACACTTCTGCAATAATATATTAAATATTAAAATGCTCCTCATTTGCACATACAAAATAACAAATGTATTCAATTGGAACCTCCTTTGCCAGTAGCAAAATATGATAATTGTTTTTTTACCCTTTTATCTGGCAACAAAACTGAGACCTTTTTTTACAAGGAGTCATGTTTGCATTGACCACAATACCTGCGGTCGGAATGCAAACAAAAACACAACTCTGATAATGTTTACACTGTCCTTGACAGCTTTTCGCCAAAAGGCGTCATCTATTGTCAAATTCTAAGTATAATTTAACAAGAACATAATTTTGTTTATATTGCACCTTTTGGGATCAAGACCTCATAAGAATCACATTAAATGTAGAAATGCTATTGTCAAAACAAAACTAAAATATTTTTCACAAGTGCTTGACAGTATCTTGTACATATTTGATACTATGATACAAACATTAACGCTTTGTTTGATACGTCACCCTGCATGCATTAAAGCTGCCTGCTGTTTTTTTTTTGCAAACACAGATGTGCATAGCCCAATTCCCCACGGAAAACTGGATAGAAGTGGTGTTGCAGTCAATTAGCGAACCACAGCTGCGGCATGCCATTAACCTAATGGAATTGCCTTGTCCCTCAGCTTGTGGTCAACAAAGCTGCTTGGAGGCCACCATCTTGCCCATGTCTGTTCACCCTCGAAACATATTTGATCGTCTGAAATTTGTGTTGAAATTATTCAGTGTTTAATTTTCTGAAAGAAATACCTTTTAGTATTGCTAAAGCTTTTATGTTCATATATCAACTTAATTTGTATCTGCTATACAGATTAAAATCAGGTTGATTACATGAAATTATAAAATATGAATAAATTTACAAAGTTATATGGATGTTATTCAGCAGGTGAGCAGAATAGTTTAGATAAACGCGATTTGTTCCATATTAGCTTTTGGAAGCACGACTCCTTTATAAAGAAACGCTTAAGAGCATTGCACCACACTATGGACCTTAAGAGCCCTCAATGGATTTCCAAGAAGCAGATTATGCAATTGAAGAAATGAAATAGGGCAGCTGGTTGGCGTCTGAAAATCCGTGGGATTTTATATATTTTTCAAATAGCAGATCGTAAAATGTATGGTAGCCTGACAGTTGAAAGAAGGTAATCCCCATGCTCATAGAAATGCATATGCTTAAGCTGCATCGAGCAAAGGTAGTTGCCACATGACTGGAAAAGGGAAATTGTTATCCTATTCTTTGGTTCTTTGGGTAAAGTCACGTAGATAGAAAATTAATGTGATCTATTAATTTTCTATCTATGTGACTTTAACGAAAGAACCAAAGAGTATGAATTCCTGCAGTCACGAAAGCTTCAAATCAAGATTGTTTTCCTATTACACAAAAAGGTGCACACATTCCAGTGTAGATTAGAAGTGTCCCACATTTTTGCATATCGAGAGCCAGATTTACGAACATGTAGCGAGTCATGGGCCATAGACACATGATACATAAATAATGGTCGAATGAAGCCGGAGTTGCATTCAGAAGAAACATTAAGAGACAGGAGATGTGATATTAAGGTAAACTATAATAGAGACTGTATAATCAGAAGATAAATATAGATTAAAATATATTCAGAAGCCAAATTATCAGTAAAGTCATTCAAAATAAATATTTAAGATTCACAGGAGGTGTATTTAAAAGCGATTACATAAGGGATGGGTAAGAGATGTATTTAAAAGGACATAAAGCTGTGTTTCAAAGAGAGCTGTAAAAATTATGGGAGTTGTATTCGGAACAGACGTAAGAGAGGGCTATACCAAATAGGGCTATACCAAATAAATGAAACTTGAGTCAAAAGATATTTTCAGACAGGACTAGAAATATCCAGAAGAGAAATATTTATGTTAATTAGGTTTCAACATTTATCAAAGAATTAACCTAAATGTAATTTTATATGAGAGTCCATAGAAATAACAGCAATATGATGTAACTATAGTATATGTGAATGATTTATTCATAGACACACAGCCCTTGTACACTGCCAACAGCATATTAAGTAATCCCTACTTGACGTACTTTCGCTAAGATGTTCTCGATTTATTGATACCCAATCCCGTTTCATGTACTGTGTATCTCGCCATAACAGGTGCCAGATGGCGCTCAAGCATTAGGGTCCCTGACTGGCTATAATCTTTCATATGTACTCTAATAATATGTTCTTCCACACAGTGTATTTATGGCTACTTTTTCTACAAGTGTATACTATTTTATATCATTCACAACTAATAGTACATATCGTATAATAGACAAGGTAATATATCAATAATGTACACTTTTCACACCGATTGTTGTACTGTATAGATGTTCAGTGGGTTACTGAGCATCCTCTGTTTAGGTACTGTACCATGTTACGATCTACCAAAAATGCTTTGATTTAAGTACTTTGGTTTACGTTCTGGTATTCAGGAATGCATCCTGGGCAGGAACCAGGGTGTGCCTGTAACATGTGTGCATTTACATTAGAGCCATTGACAATACAAACTTTAATGTGTCTCATATTTAGACACCATGTTGGGAGTGTGAAAGTATTGCAAGTGTAGTGAGTCCAACTGAGTCGCAGACGTTGTCTTGGAAGCAACACTATTTATTACATCAACTCAACACAACATAACGTAACCTACACTCGGGTGTTGAACGCCCATCTAACCACGCTATGGCAGAACTAGACACGGTCCCGTTATCCTGGTCCGGACCACGAACTGAGTCCGGACCGCGTGGCTAAATGCTTCCTCAACCCGACGTGGGTCTTCACTCACCAACAGTCAAGAAAACCCCAAGCCCCACATGGGGCCCCGTTATATCGGCCCAGGCTGGGGCTGGCTCCGCCTCTCGCCCCGCCCACCTCAATCTCTCTGGCCCCTTCCCGAAGGCTCCCGAGAGCTCTTCTATACCACGTGACCACTCAGCGGCCCCTATCTACCGGTGGCCCCCCTCCAATATCATCCGGTCACGTGTCGGCAGGTCAACCAGCGTATCATGCCCCAACTTAACCCTGGCTGGCTGACTCTCTCGCTCCCTCACCGAAAACCCGCACCGCACACTGTACGTGGTGCTTCTGCGCTAACCAGCGCTTACCTAAGCCCCACTAGGGCCGGTACTACGCCCATTAACCGGGCTGCACATAATGACAACATAATATCCGCCGTGGCCTCGCAAGCCCGGCACCACACAGTGACATTCACAGTCACTACACATTAAAACCTCGCACAGAAAGTGCAATTGGGTTTTGGGAGAATAAAGATACATCTTGACTTAAAGCTTTCGTGACTGCCGGAATTCATACTCTTTGGGTCTTTCGGTAAAGTCACGTAGATATACAGTAGTGGGATGAGGCAATGCTTCTGTGTTGCTGACTGACATAGGTAGTACAAGGTAGCTGTGGTAGACACATTCTGAAACGTAAAGTTGTCATAGATAGTGAACCATGTACCTTCCTCTGTGCTACCATGCATATTTTTAAAGACCAGAGAGTGCCTGAAAAGGTCTCCCAGGTCACACCTGCTGTGCTCTCACAGCCATTAGACCACCAGTAAATATAACTTCCCACTTTCATAAAATATCTGTGTTAAGTGCTGCATCACTTGCCTTCCTTGGGGTTGTTAAATAACTACATTTTAATATGAGGTTTCATGTGATGCCAATTAAAGTTGGACTTAAATTACTTCAGGCAAGTAAAATAAAATGTTCGTAAAATATAGTAAGAAGTATATTCAGAAGGTACAGGAGCTTATGGAGAATCACAATTTTAACATTTTGTTCTGCTTATAAATTAGATTGGTATTGCATCCCGTTTCCTGGGCTTATGCCGCAGAGGCCTAGATCTATGAGAAATTAGCCTGAAAGACATGGCGGAAATCCTTGATTCTTCTAATCTAAGTATTTCAGTAATCTAATAAATGTGTAGGTCCTCTTATCTAGCTGTGAGGTTCTTGGGAGGAAAGTCATTGATTTCTGAATGTATTAAGATATTATTTGGCTTCAGAACAGGCTTGCCTCGGTGATAACTGTTGTTTTTGTGCATGATTTGACCTTTACTGTATGTCAAGCTGATATAATCGCCGAAGTATTTTATGCATAATCAATGTTAACGACCACCAATATCATTACAGGTAAATTCGTGTACAATATAGGAACCCACTGATGAAAGCTGATTGGCTGTGTAGGTCAGCTCAGAGCTGAAACATGTTAGGATGAAACAATTTAAGTTTGAGCCTGGAAATTTATACTTCTGTTGTGCCTAGAAAACTGTTCAACATCCAGCTGTGGTCACGCCTAAATTATTTTTTTAAAGAAATGCATGAGATAACTGTTCTTATTATAATTCAAATAGGTCTTGAAGTTGAAATTATTAATGTTGATTTATTTTTTAGACAAGTTGAAATGTGTACACTATGAACCAGGTAACAGAGTTTTATTCCCAGCCACAGCTAACATCAGTTGCAATTGATATCTGAAGCAGGACTGGGCACCCCTTTTACCTAACCCATACTGGCAAGCATGGTAAAGTATGGTCAAACAACTCCCACGACTGACATGACATCAGGAGACTTTCAGCCAACAGTGAATTTGCAAAGGGCTATATATTATTAAATAAGTTTACTCTTTTTGTACGTGTGTTTTTTGGGGAAATGTTACTGCTGGAGAAAAAAAAAACATCTTAACTATGATCGCAGCTATCAAATAAGATGTCATTCAGCATGGTAAGTGCATTATGGTGTAGCATATGTCTAAAATATTCAGAGAATTGTTAAACTTGTTTTTTTCCATTTCTGTGCAGGTGAACCAAGATTTGTGTCCTCTTCTCTCTCCACATTGGTAATTCAAGGAGACAGTGTGGTGCTAGACTGTGGAGCAGAGGTGACAGGTCTTTGGAATGAGGTGCGGTGGTTCAAGGAAGGCCGATCTATTACTGAGGATTCTCAGGTAATGGTGCTATCTAGTGGAGACCTACTGCTACAGAATGCCAGCAAGGCAGATGGGGGAAAGTATTTCTGCCAGCTTAGTGTTTGGAGGTCGCACGTTTACCAACCAAGGGACAAACCTCTCCATCTTGCCAGGTTAGTCAATTAGTATTCACACTATATGTGTATGCACTGTAAAATATATGCAAATGTACATTGAATATTATTATGTAAAGCAATGCATTTTATTTATACACACTGTAACAATTCTATTATTTAGATAAAGGAATAGTGGACATGAATGCTTATGATAACAAAATGCACTTTGAAAGTAAAAACGTGAACACGTTTAAAATCTAAAATTAATTAGCTGGGGTTTTTCACAGTCCTGTTAATGTGGGTTTTATTTTATTTTCATATATCGCAACCTCATTCACTCCTCCTTGGTCGGCTATGCTCACCTCGTAATTTATCTGGGATGGTTCTGCCCTTTAAACCTCATTTTAATCACACCAGGTATAGGCTTCTCACGGATAACACCTGGTAAAGCATCTCATTACATCTGTGGCCCACACTGGTGAAGTCACAAGCCATTGGAATGTATTAAAACGATCATATCCATTGTCTGCTGATTGAGAAAAGTTCATATGTTAGCTACTCCCATATTCCCCAGTGATTTAAGGGCAACATGTTGTAAATTGCTTTCGCTTACTATAGGTCATTCAAATGTTGAGGCTGCCCTCTGCGCTGCGTGAAGGCCATTATCTGACATTTTATTCAAGCATGTTTTTTTTTCCAAAGCAGAGTGAATTGTGAAGTGGTAAAATGTTTGCAGGTCTGTTTGGATTAATCCATGAGTTCTCGCACACGTTTCATGGATGTTAAGAGTTGCATGGCTAACTCCATTTGTGAGACACCATGATGGAAATAAAAGTTTTTAAAGCGTGGCAGGTAACTTTAAAGCTCAGCTGTTGTGTACATGCATGCACACACCAGCTGTGTTTCAAAAAGATGCTTGCCACGCTTCAGACACCTGTCTCATTATCTATCTCTGTCTGTATCTGAAGGTGTCCCTTTATCTCCCCATCTCCGTAGATTACAGATTATATGGGGAGATACAGAGAGACACTCGGAGATACAAAGATAGAGATACAAGGAGATAAAGATACAGGGAGATGGAGACACAGATGGAGATAGACACAGGAAAGTCACATTGATGTAGTTACCCTGTAAGCATATGTGCTTATTTAACTATGGGTCTGATTAGGGCAGATGCAATGTAAATTTGTTAAGACGGTTACTCTACATGACAGCACATTACACGTTCTAAATCTATTTACATATCTGTGTATGTGCCGAGTGATGCTACTGTATAGTTATGCAAACATTATATCATGTGTATGTCCCCATATGTTTAATTATTGACTTAATACAGCAGTCAGTTTGAATATAAATATATGACCTTTTAAATAAGCATGCTGGTGAATACTAAATGCATAGCATAAAATAATTCCACTGTATTCAATTGTAAGTGTGCATATGGCTATATACATGTGTAGTGACATCGCTGGATGTCACCATGCTGTGGGTGTAGTACCGGCCCTAGAGGGGGGCGGTGTGCGCTGATTGATAGCGCTGGATGGCACCAGGCTGTAAGTGCAGTGCCGACCCTACAGGACAGGGTGTGTGGGTGGCGACCGAAGGATAAGGTTGTGTGAGGCCATGGGACTCTGGTTGCCCCGGGAGGAAACGTGACCAGTTAACTTGACAGAGGGGCCCCAAGAGGGGGCTAGGGGGGGTCACGTGATTGGGACCCAGATCCTTCCCGAGGATTCTGGAAGGTGGATGTGGCCAAGGGCGGAGCCGGCCACGCCACGGAGAATATAAGCCGGGTCCCGAGAGGTTTGTGATAACTCCCGTAATACGCAGTGGGGATTCCAACATCTGCATTTTCCACGCACATTTTTGGATCTCTACTGGGAATGGCTGATTCCTCACTTATCCCCACAGCGGATTGTTATATGTTTAAGTGCTGCGTATTTTGAAGTGCACAGTCCTGACTTTTTTTTTAAAGGTGCATAGTTTACTAAGGAGCCAGTGAGCTTCAAAACAAGAGCATTCTCTTGGCTCTGCACAGAGCGTGTTTGACTCTTTTCTCCGATATTCCGTGGCAAACTGCACCGGCGAAATTATTTTCCTCATGGATTATAAGATCTGTGATATGGTCCTGCTGTTTGCATATTTACATTTTTGTTCTGATGTATTTACTTTATAACATTTTGTGGATGTGGTGTGCCTGTTTGTATGTACGTATGTACATATTCGTTTTTCTAAATAGATTTCATTATTCCTAAATTGGTTTTGTGAGAAAGAAGAACACCTGGATTAAAGAACATATGCAAGTTACACACATTGTTACTGACTACTAAAAACAATTAAGTGGGCTTGGGCAAGTTACGTCCCTAGTTGAGATGATGATAGTCAAGAATAATGACGGGGTGGCAGCCAGAGGAAGGTACATACCCAATAGGCCGGTGACAGTGGAGATAGTGTGGTCAAATCAGCACATGCAGGTACTGGATTGATTGTTGCATCGTGCTACTCTGAGTGATGGCAACGGCATGGGGAGGTCTTCAAGCACCTGTGGATGGAGCATGGCTTATGAGGATAACGATGGTGATGATATGTTTCTGACCACCTGCTTCACTGTGTGCTTGCGTGTATGTCTGTGCCAAGCAGAAATGGAATCAAACCGCCCATGCATGGTTTTGCGGCACCCAGTGGACGTCAGTGTGAGGCTTGGACACACAGCCACACTGGAATGTGTGGTTGCGGGCTTCCCTGCTCCAAGTGTACACTGGACCCGAGGCACCGAGTCAGTCCTCAGGTGCACATCGACTTAACGTCTTCTTTCGACTGTTTTAATTTCAATATTTGAATATGTAATGAAAAATTCGAATATATGTTAATATATAGGATGCCGCCATGGTTTAAATGATAAGCACACTACACTTGCAATGCAGAGGTTGCTGGTTAAACTGGCATTACAGTTGAAACAATGGGATATTTTCTTTCATACCCCCTCTGTCCAGCCAGCAATGTAAATTGGTACACCAAACTTCTTGGTTCTTTCGGTAAAGTCACGTAGAAGGGAAGTAATAAAATAATAAAAATAAAACATAATAAAATAATTCTCACGACGTTTCGGCCACAACGCAAGCAGCTGTCCTCAGGTAAAACCAGGTCTGTCGAGGCGACAGACCTGGTTTAAATCGAAAAATAGTACACCAAACTTTATCAAGTCATGTATGATGGGGTAAAGTGTGGGGACTCCCACCTCTTCCAAGACATCTGAGCAGTATGGAAGAGTAGGCCAAATACCCTCTTCGTAGAAGCCTTTTCAGAGCAGTGACGTGAGAAAATAATTTCAGGACTGTATCTTTACCTTTACATACGTAAAAAAAAAATCATTTTACGTTGGAATTTTTGTTCATCGTTTTAGGTGTACACATTTGCAAGGTATACACACATCTTAAACGAGCACCCTTTACTAAAATACGTATATAGGAACATAATACAAATATTCCAGTCAAAGTGATTTTATAAACAGCATATTATTTATGCTTATTCAGATGAAACAATTATTTAATATAAATACCAAGTACTTTTATCATTTAGACGGTGCTTAGGGTCTAGGGGGTAAACAACAAAACATTGTAAAAATAGACTGGTAGATCCAGCTGAATTTAAAGAGTCCTATATAACCCTGATGTAGGCATAATGAGATACGGACTTTTCAAGGTGTTTTTTTTGAATTATAGTATTTAATGTGCCGACTGTATGACAGCCACGAGTATTTTAATTCATTACAATTTTCCATTATGGGGGAACTGATTTTTTGATGGTAATGCTCAACCTATGATTGAAAAAAAATGTGATATTAGGCCATATGATAAGCAGCTCAATTTAATTACCATGCACCATTGTTGCTCTCACATATATATAGTATATATGTATGAATAGGTGTGGGCATTTGGGCAGCGATGAACAGGACGTTAGAGCACCCCTTCCTTCCGCTAGCATGCAGGCGGCCCTTGGGCAAGGCTCAGCTTAGCCTCCCTGCCAGGGTCACGGCGAAGGCGCCGGCGTCGGCAGCAGGGGTACTGATTGATGACTGGCAGATGAATCTTATAGGTCAATGGTGTGGCATCTAACTGGCATGTGGAAGAACACCACCAATGGAGTCAACGGATGGCAGTACCAAGGCCAGTTCGTGGCTACGGCAGGGAAATTCATGGCTTCCCCAGTCATTATACTCTGTGTGTATCACTGGACCATAATACATGAGACCAGAGAGAGGGCAGATGAGGGCACGACAAGAGCTTCTCTTAAGCACCGTGCAAGGCGTGGAGAGCAGAGAAAGTCATTTGGCGATGGAGTGGATGTGGTAGCAGCAGGCTTTAGTTGGGAACTGTTAACAAAAGCTCTGCATGCACACAGGCGGCTCAGACATTCCAAAACCTGGTTGGCAAGCCACAGCCAACGGGCCTTCAAACTTGCAGTAAGAAAAACGGAAACAATACAAATTCCTTCCTGGAATGTCCAGACACTGTTTGACAGGGTTGCTTCTGGTCGACCTGAAATAAGGATAGCTATTTTGTCCTGTGACCTAGCTTGTCATCATATTGATATTGCAGCCCTCCAAGAGACAAGACTAAAGGGACAGAGTCGAATTAGAGATTGAAGATGCACGCTGTTTTCTGGGTTGAGAAGACTCGTGAGGAAAGAGATGCTTTTATTTCGATTTAAAGCTTTCGTGACTGCAGGGATTCATCTTCTTGGTTCTTTCGGTAAAGTCACGTAGAAGGGAAGTAATAAAATAATAAAAATAAAACATAATAAAACAATTCTCACGACGTTTCGGCCACAACGCAAGCAGCCGTCCTCAGGTGAAAACCAGGTCCGTCGAGGCGACAGAGTCTGAATGAAACAGCACACGAGCTTGGAGCATATATATAAGCTGGGCGCATTGACAAAGGAATTTGCATATCAAAAGGAATTTAGCATATTTATGGGAAATGCAGGAATGTGATTAGTACTGCATATGCATGTGCATTATGCAGGATTAACAGCATCAAAGGGAGCTGCAGTTACTGCTGCTGCAGCAGTTGCTGCTGCTGCTGCAGTTTCTGCTGCTTCTGCAGTTGCTGCTGCTGCTGCAGTTGCTGCTGCTGCTGCACTTGCTGCTGCTGCTGCACTTGCTGCTGCTGCTGCTGCACTTGCTGCTGCTGCTGCACTTGCTGCCTTATCCATTTTAATATAACACTATGTATTATTCTACCCACCCTAATGTGTATCATACTGCTATATGTTTACTGTACAATTACGACACCATACATTACTCTGCACACTGCACCATGCCAGTGAGTGGAACGCGGTCTGAAAGTCACCGTAAACTAAATGCTAGCAAAGCAGACGTGCAATGAAAAATACGGACCATTAAAGATCTATGGTGGAGCACCAAGCAGATGAAATAGATGCACTCGCTGCACTGACTCACAAGGGATGTACGATGCTCTCAAAGAAATCGATGGTCAGAGAACAAAGATTACACTGGTCAACACACTTTTTCTGGCATAAGGTATTCCAACGGTTTAAAGGTAATTTTGGGGCGCTGATTCCAAATCTGTCATCAGTTTTTGTCTATCACATCAGGTTTTTGAGATATCAAATATTGCATTTTCAATAAAAACAGCAAATTTATGCTCATATACGAATAGCTAAACAGACATCCATACAAGAATAAGATAAGATACAATATACAATAATAATTGAACAAACATTTAATGAGCCGTAGCACAAAGTTGTGAGAGTGACTGCATATCAATGTGAGTGAATGCATATTACCATGTAAGAATTGAATTGTAAAGATAAGAAAAATATGTACTAAAAGGTCATTCACAATAGTGATGTTACATCTGCATAAACGACCTCTTCTTTGACGATCTCCGATGTGCAGCTTGTGGAATCTTCTTGGTTCTTGCGGTAAAGTCACGTAGAAGGGGAGTAATAAAATAATAAAAATTAAACATAATAAAATAATTCTCATGACATTTCGGCCACAACGCAAGCAGCCGTCCTCCAAGGAAAATGTGAAAAGGGTCTCATTGCACCTTCAATTTATAAGGCATTTGGTTGCCTAAATAAGCGTCTTTGGTCCCAGCATTGGTATCAAAATGCCCCCCAAAGTAAAGGTCTACAGAACAGTGGTAATTCCTTCACTACTTTACTTTGTAGAAACATTGACACGAAACAGATGACACCTGAAGAAACTGACGAGCCTACAGCTGAGACATTTGAGACAAATCATGGAGATCAAGTGGCAAGACCGAATTCCAAGCAACCAGGTGCTGGCTAGAGCTGGAATTCCCAGTGTAGAGGCAACAGTTACCTCCTGTCAGTTCAGACAGTTAGGGCATGTAACGCAAATGCCAAAACATTAACGTCCTAAAATCCTTCTTTATGGTGCACTCAGAGGGCCAAGCGTGGTGGCCAAAAACTGCGCTACAAAGACATCCTTAAAAGACACCTCAAGACAGCCACATTAGACGAATTGTCAGCGAACCGTAAGCAGTGGAGAAGTGCTGTAGCCGACTTGGTCAAGAGAGTTGAAGAAAAAAGGGGGAAAAAAATCTATCAGCATCAACACCAGCAATGGCACAACACAAATCCCATCCAGTAGGCGAACAACTCTTGCCCACAGTAGGGCCGATGCTTCCACTCAAGGGCTGGGCTCTCATCCCACCGGCGTGCAAGAAAATGCTAGCTGTTCTCCGCAGTTATCGTTAGCGATGGACAGCCTAAGTGTAGGTGGGGGGATGGGTGAGATTTATTTTTTATCCCCAAGACTAATATTTTTGTTATCGTTGCCATCCCCTGGAGAAACAACAATGTTGAATTTACAATCTAAGGTTTGAGCCTTGTTAGGAATGAATGAGAGACTACTTGTAAATGCCAGGTTATGTAGGGTTAGGGCTGACTGGAAAGTGGCCAGGAGATAGAAACACAGTGATGCTTTCTTGAATCTCTCTATGCAGAGCTTGGGTGTCACCCCCTCCTATGTATGGTGGGTTTTTCACCACAAGAAGCCAAACACTCATTGAAATTATCCAAACATCCCTATTTAGCAGGACTCTCCTGAAAACTCCTGACTCAGTAAGGTGTTCCAAGGTAAAACAAATAAATAATTTTTCAGAGCGCAATTAACACTTTAAGGGACTATCACACATGTTCGATTTCTATTATCAGTTAATCTATTATTGCCGTGTAGGCATGGACATTTTTTTGTCCACATTTCACCACGCAGGTTAGTGAGGGTTGGTGAAGGCCTTTATATTTTAATACCCCCCCCCCCCACCATATATACTAATATATATACTAATATGTTTTATTACATTTTTGAGCCATCATGTCGGCACACCATATTGCATGCAAACCTATTTTGTTCCTATCCAACCTCTTTGGAAAGGCTATAGCAAGGGACAGAATTGTGCGCTTACCAGAGTGCATGAAATTGGGTACTGATAGCATATCACCTCAGCACACTGTCCGCTATTTTGTAGAAAATAAACATTTCAAAAGAACAACATGTTTACAAACTTAATTGATGGAGAATGCTTGTCCACAAGTCACTGTGACCTGAGAAAATGAAGGGGGCAGCCAATAAAACATGTACACATTACTTGAACATCAATGTAATCATGTCTAAACGCACATAGGCACGGTGCACCCTCATGCGCAATGTGAGTACCAGTGCTAAACTTAATTAGTAATGACAATATCATGCCTTCCCTGGAGATTTTTTTTCCAATACATTTTTGTGGCACCAAAATAGGATGAAATGGCATGTGTCTCTGCTTATATCTTTTTCAGACGTATAATAATTACATTGTAAATAATAACTGAGCTCCATCCGCAAAGAATGAATTAACATATACATTTTCTCATTATACTTGGGATGTTAATTAATATAAATGTATATCGTTATGCAACATTTATTATTCCATTATGCGTTAACATCACTGTTATAATGAAATTATAATTGTAGACTATTTTTGTTGTGGTAACAGTTTATACATAGATGGTACTGTGATTGTTTTTTTAACGAAGATTGCTAATTCTGGCACCTGTGGTTTTGCAGTGAGAGATTCTCGGTGGTGGCTGGGGGGATCTTGAGGATCGATAATGTCCAGCAAGATGACGCGGGAGATTACACTTGCATCATCAAGGCCCAAAATGAAACTCAGCGGCTTTATGCCAAACTCACCGTCCTTGGTAAGGAAAACAGGCCTTGATATAAATGTGTTAAAAAATATGGTGTCGTTTATTTTTCTGACGCCAATGCTTTAGTTAAGTAAAAAAACTTAAATTGGTCTTGTGTTTATATTTATTTTTATTATAACAATACATAATCTGCATGTTGCCAATTATGGCTACCATTCCCACAATAGTTGCATTTCTCCCAAGGCCATCATATTGATGATGACGTTTATTTGATCATAATTCATAATTTTCATTACACTATTATTTGGAGTGCACATGCATACTTTGTCATGTACATAATATCTACAACTTTCTAATTGCGAATTTTCCCAGTAGACAAAACTGAAAACATAATTTGAGTTTCTATGTGTGTGTGCGGGGCATTGTAGTGATTAGGGCATTTACAAATAAACTAGTTTGCACTGTCATTCTCTAAATTAAATTAAATCCATTGTACAATGACAATTACATGTGTAGTGGGTATAAATAGAGAGCGAGGCTTCTCTGGAAGGAACACGTTTATTATAACAATACTCGCTAACCTGGGGAGGTAGTCCCTCCGGGCTAACTAGCCCTGACACAACTGGAGGAGGCCGTCAAGTCCGGACCCCGACTCGAGTCCTGGTCTTGACTTCGGGGCTTCTTCTTCAGGAGGACGTCTTCAGATGAACAACAGCAGCCGGACACAATCAGGGTTCCGGCTTATATCCCTAGTCCCGGATCTTCCTCCGCCCCGAGACACCGCCTCCCTTCTCGGCCCTTTCAGAGGCCCCTGAAACCGGTCCCGGGGTCCCCCAGCCCCCCTCTTTGGGGGCCCCACCCCCGCTACCTCTGGCCACCAGCCCCTCCGGGTTCATCCGGAGTGCCATGGCCCCCTGTCACCTCTGGGCCGCTCCAGGCGCTCTCGCCCCCTAGCCTCCAGGGCATGTGTAGTGGCATCCCTCGATGCCACTACACATGCCACAAACATCATTGTTAAGCACAGTACATGCGTGTCGCTTAACGAGTATTCTTTTGCTAAAAACGAGCAATTTGAATTTAGATCAATTTGAATTTAGATCAATTTGTTCGCAAAACAAGCAAAATGTTCACATAGCAAGCAGACACCACCGATCGATCAAATGCATTCGAAGGCGGCAGTGGGTGCATGGAGGGCCGCAGATGTTTGATAACCAGCTGCGCTACCTGCTCGCGTGTTTCACGTGGTGGCACTGTAATGGGTGAGTGGCGGCGCTAATTAATTGCAGACACTTGAGGACAGGCACCTGCAAGCGCTGTGGTTCTTCATGTGTGGTAAGTGTTACATTTTATTACATTAGTGTTAAATTATAATTAGTTTTTCTCACCTAAAAAAATGCGTTCAAGAGTAGAAAATGTTGGGTCTGAAAGGTGAAACGCTCGTTAAGCGAGACACGGCTGTATATATTGTGTAAACACGATAGCCCAGAGCTAGACAATTTTTTAATTACACCTATCACCATCGTAGTGCAGGCAGTGGCACATCAACCTTTGCCGTGAAAGCATCTCGTGGACCAATATCCCCTGTATAGCAATCTATTAACAGCCTGTTGAGGCAAGTGTTGTGAGCGGGCACCTATGGAGGCTAGCACGGAACACGAGGGGGGTGGGTGGCCAGCACCATGCCTGGCTGCATTTGTCTCCCTAGTGGCGATGCTTACACACCGCACCAGGTACTAATTTGAGGCTGAGTCGACTTAGGGGAGGCCCAGGACCGATTCAGATAATCGTCACTCGTGTTGGGCATGAGTGGTGATCAAACTCGGGTCGCCGGGTTCGTAGTGCAGCGTGGCACTACCACTCCCCACTTGAGGACAAACACACATGCTTTGGATCATGATCGGTAAGTACTATTCAGTGTTTATACTGCCATACTATTTATTGTCTAGAAATGTTTTTTGTATCGGGTTTTTACATGTTTATTTCAATAACTTTGTTTTTTAGGTTATTTGACATACAGTACAGCACTTATTTCAATTGTCATGTCTATTTTTGGTGGCCCTGTACCTAACCCCATTATTTACAGGTCAGACTTAGGTATTGAATATCGCAGTTTTGGCTTTCGCGGCACTTTCCAAAAGCATAACACCCACGATAATCAAGGGTCTCTATACATTTTACACACACATCATTTATGCACGGACACAAATGATGGTGAATGGGTCTACTGTACAAATTTGATGGATATTTGCATGTAATTGACTTATCAAGTCATCTAAGCCAGATGAGGGCTGAGACAACAGCCTAATTTATGCACAATGAGATTGAACAATTTTCCGAAAATCTGCCAAAAGGTGTATATTCTGGAAACATCTTTCCACTGAATTACGTATGTAATATTGATGCATATATTAGGATATACGATAGAAGTCTTATTTTTTTTGTGACAATGGAGCATGTTAAATTTCGATTTAAAGCTTTCATGACTGCAGGGATTCATATTATTGGTTCTTTCGTTAAAGTCACGTAGAAGGGATGAGATGATTGCTTGTGTTGCAATCGAAACGTCGTGAGAATGTTAATGTTTTATTTTATTATTTCCCTTCTACGTGACTTTACCGAAAGAACCAACAATGGAACATGTGTTTACTGAATACTGTAAAAAAAGATTGCATTGTGTTGAAAAATTGGCAAGAACTTATGTACTTTTGCAATTTGTATTTAAATACTTTGTTACTTTGTATTGATGTATTTTAGTGACATGCTTACCTTTCGTACGCTTTGCACTCATCGGTTTTTGTGTTATTTGTTTTTGTAACTATATAACCCCCGCCCCTATTGGACATTGTGAAAAAGAGATGCATAGTTCATCAGATTCCTCCAGGATAAAGATTTAGATTCTGAATAAAATAAAAATTCAGATTCTGAGACATTAAACAAAGTTGTGTGTGATGAGCAATACATATAGATTATTTTCAGAGGTGACACGAGTTTTGGTGAAACCGTTAAAATGCAGCGACAGGCACTCCTTGACATACGCGATAGATGCGTTCCTGTAAAAGCGTGCGTATCTCAAAATCGCGGTGTGTAAAAAGCATCAGCGGGTATAGTACCTAAGTATGATGTATGTCTTATTCTAGGGGACATCCCCGTGTAGATGCATACAAATTAGGATACATAAATCCTCTGACAAGCAAGGAGATGGCGACTTCGACACCCTTATGTTGGGAGTTACACGAATGTGTTTGATCTGCCATACCTTGACATCCCAACCCTCACAGGCGTGTACCATCAGCGTCCTCTATGCAGTACCATAGTTTCTATAAGTTTTTTCGTGCAGCGGTAATGAATTGCCACTTAGCACAAATGCATTGTTTACCTAGGAATGCTTTGCCGAGTCTCAATACTTTTTTAGGAGAGTCCTGCAAAGTAATTGCAGTCAGGGCTGATGTTGGTATGTGTCATCCCAATTGCCTGATTCAAAGCGAAGTTTTCATCATTGATATGTTTAACCAAGAACTGTTACATTTAACACAAGCTTTCAAATAAATGTTATGATTTATAATTGATTTGGGGTCAGATTACGTGTGTCCCAAGCAATCCTGTCTGTCCAACAAAATTCATGAATTCATATATCTCTCCAAAAAAAACACGTTTCCAAACCTGATTTCTTAATTTCAGATTGTGATATATAAAACACAAATACATTTGCCACGTCTATATGCTATGGTCTTCTCTCATGGATAAACTGTCCATTCATACGCACACAAATGTTTCCTCATGGTTGTATATGTGTTTTTTACAGAACCCCCACGCATCCTGCATGGTCCTGAAAATAGAAATGCAAGTGTGAGTGATGATATCATTCTGGAGTGTCAAGCGGAGGGAAGACCCCGCCCAGTTATTAGCTGGTTCCAAAACGGGGATCTCATTATTCCAGATGACTTCATCCAGATTGTGGTGAGTCCTCATGTTTGTATATAATCATGAATGTTGTCCACTAAACATTGATATCACACACATGTATTGTCATGTTTGCAGAATTTTTTTGCACTTTTGTGACATCAATGCTTACCAAATCCTGTTTACCATGAAATTATAGTAATAGCTAATCACTTATAAAATCAGCAACAATGGTACTATAAGTTTCCAAAATATATTTGAAGTCGATGATACGATCCTAGGCCCGTTCATCTTAAACATCTATTAAGAGTTGTAATTGTATGTTGTGGAAGTGTTTGCTGTAATTAATGTAGTTCAAATACATTTGGCTATTTAATCAAATGTACATGCCGATACAATGCGTGTAATTTATAAATATTGGAAATTGTGCTTCGGTCGCCTATTATTGAAAACATTGCTTTGGAGAAAATAGTAGTGGAAATAGTTTACCTCAAATGATCAACACCTTCCATCAGATTGCAACACAAAAGTAATTGAAGATCGTAGATTAAACACTTGGAGCATGAAAGTGGAAAAAGCGGTTCATTGTAAATCACAAATCTGAGCCCTTGGAACCATAATATCATAGTCAGTCATAAAACTAGAGGAGGATTTTTATGCAGATCTCTATAGCAAAACAGGAATAAACCCTTTACAAAAAATTATCTGAGGATGATGATATTCTAGATGTCACACTTAATGGATTAACCACTGCCCTTTGCAGCCATGAACAAAAGAGAAGCTCATTGACCAGATGTAATGATAATCGTGGACATCATCAAAGAAGCAGAACCAATTTTGTTTACACATAAATGAAATGTGTCATTTGTGAAATGTTGCCTCATTCATATACAATATATATTTAAAAAAATGGAAATATAATAGCTGGTCCACTCGGCATCTCTCCTCCTATGATCGTAATAAGGGGATAGGCAGGCTAAATAGACAATAATAAAGTTCGGAGATGATGAGTAGATACTCTGCGTTATGTTCTGTCCTCGTGAGAAGTGGGCGACTCCACAACAGATGGGCACCAGATGTTTGTGAAATGGCAACGCTTTATTTCAGTGTTCTTCTGAGGAGCATTTGCTTATCTGCAATAATGACCAGACGCCAATATCACCCTCGGCTCAGTCCTTCAGTCCCCCAGCACGAAGCCCACCCCAAATCTCAATTATGGTAACACCCACTTATCATATTATACAATAGCATTATAATTAAATTATATTAATCATTTCTAAACGAGGGAAATCCTATTTTACTGGCAATAGACATAGAACAATTGTTCTTTCTTATATCTAAAAAATCAAGAATTCAAAATCTGCCAAAACACTTACTCTGCTCACCACACGAGCTCAATGTTAAGTTCTAGCTGCAGTGGCCATTTTGCACATGTTTATGAGCATAACGTAATTACACTAATTATAATCAACTGTCACGAAAAATACTTCTCTTTTCATCATCAAAACATTCCTAATGATCTTCCAACTCCGTTTACATCTACTGATTAGAGTTTGATTGAAGAAAATAAGCAAGTTATTAACACCCGTGAACATAATAAAATAATTATCACCACGAGGGTGATGACATCTTATTATTAAATTTCCCGCACAAAAAACGTAAAACACAACTCAAATGAAGTGAACGTCTCATACCTGCTATCATAACCAGACACTGCCTCATCACCCAACTTCAGCTCAGTGCCTCTGTTGATGGAATTGAGCACCAGTGTACATTTTCTAGACCCAATTATATATTGAAATATTAAAATCAACTGTAATATCAAAGGCTTAATTGTGAATGCCTTCATCACCACCAAAAACTCAATCAAGTCAATTTAAATTACTGAGTCCTTATTCGAACAACATTCAAGTAATATGAATTAACATTTAATAACATTTTAATGGAGCTAAAGTAGTGTCTCACCAGCATGGAGTTCATCCCAAATCTGAATTGGGGTTGTGCCCCGTACTCTGAATCGTCTACACCAGAGGTGTGGACTCGAGTCATGTGACTTGGACTCGAGTCAGACTCGAGTCATGAATTTGATGACTTCAGACTCGACTTGGACTTGCATAACAATGACTTTGTCCCACCTCTGAGGTGTGGACTCGAGTCATGTGACTTGGACTCGAGTCAGACTCGAGTCATGAATTTGATGACTTCAGACTCGACTTGGACTTGCATGACAATGACTTTGTCCCACCTCTGACTGGTGTGGACTCGAGTCATGTGACTTGGACTCGAGTCAGACTCGAGTCATGAATTTGATGACTTCAGACTCGACTTGGACTTGCATAACAATGACTTTGTCCCACCTCTGAGGTGTGGACTCGAGTCATGTGACTTGGACTCGAGTCAGACTCGAGTCATGAATTTGATGACTTCAGACTCGACTTGGACTTGCATAACAATGACTTTGTCCCACCTCTGAGGTGTGGACTCGAGTCATGTGACTTGGACTCGAGTCAGACTCGAGTCATGAATTTGATGACTTCAGACTCGACTTGGACTTGCATAACAATGACTTTGTCCCACCTCTGAGGTGTGGACTCGAGTCATGTGACTTGGACTCGAGTCAGACTCGAGTCATGAATTTGATGACTTCAGACTCGACTTGGACTTGCATAACAATGACTTTGTCCCACCTCTGGGACTCTACACACTGATTGACATGGCCTACTGTGCAAGGGATGCTTAGGGTACTATATCTGATCAGCATTGCATATATTCTACTTATAATTTAAAAGCCCACCTGGCTCTCAGAAGCAATTACAGCAGCCACATTTTATACAAAACGGCTCCTTCGATTCCCATATGCTGAAACACGTTGCGGAGTGCACAATTATGTGTGATTCATCATAGGTACGACCAGTTCGTTGCTGGATAATGGCCTGCTTACTCTGTGTTAGTTATGGAAGGGGGTTGTCTGACCATACTTGATCAAGTTGGTCAATGTGAGTTCGTGAAGTGAAGGAGCAGAAATGGTTCAGATATAACTTGGCAATGATGTGAGGCATGGTAAGGATTAAACTAAAGTGACAGGGTTTATCAGCACTAACCACCACCCACCCACTCCATGTAGATACATTTTTCACACTAATCATAAAAGACTGAACAATGGATTTTTTTGGCAAAATAACCATGAGCAAGCTGCATTTCGGAAAGGCTTCTGTAAAATGGACCACATACTATCAATCAACCTAGAGAACACGAATACAAATCACAGAATCAACCGCCATTGGCCATGTTCACCACTGATCATGTATGACTATGTTTCAATTATTGTAATGAAAGAGATGTGGTAGAACATGTATTAAGGATTCTGGGAAAGGGGATTAAAACAATGGTGTTGCTGTTAATTGCGAGGCTTCATGGCAATGTACATATCCATGGTGGTACGATATGTGTATCTAACAGTATTATCCAAGACGGGTAGGTGAGTGAGTCATCAGCCTCATGGACGAGATGCCTACAGAGGACATTCCCACTTGGCGGAAGGGCCCAGTAAATTAATTAGAGACAAGGAGATAAGAGACCGGATTCCGTGAGGAAAGAGAGGCTTGGACGGAGAGACATCGGTTTACAGGAGCGCCAGGGTTGGAGTGGGAAGAGGTTATGCGGAAGATGAGGGCCTAAATTATATTGGCCAGTTTGTGCCTTTATATACCTGAATATAGACTTGAATTCTATTTTCATTATTAATGGTATTTACTATGTAAATAGAGTCATTTCACATTCCTAACCACCTTGTCTGTACCCATCATTAGAACAGTACAACGTTGCTTAGCCGACCCTCAGATACTCACCCTGGCCAATTTACCGCCCACATCAAATGCACTACGTTCTTGGTTTAACTGTCAGGTTTACATAGGTGTTCACAAATCGAATCTTTTTACATAAAGTAAATCCTCATGAAGCTGGAATTCAGGGTAAGCCAGAGAGTCTGTCTAAATAATAAAGAAACATTTCGCATGTACTGTACAGTACCCAAACAACTCCAATCGGAACATTGTTTACATGCTCATTAAGCCGTGCACTGTAGGAGATGGTGTAAAACTCTTGATTAAACTGGTAGGAACCTCCTGGTTCCACCAGCCCACAGGGATTATTGTGTCCGTCCGTCGTGCAGGGAGGGGCTGGGTGGGGAGGGAGGGGCTGGGTGAGGAGGGTGGGCTGGGTGGGGGGTTGGTGGGGAGGGGCTGGTCACCCCGTGGTGCCCTTATAAAACTCAACGTTTAACCTACTCACGCCGGCTTGTACCCGCCCTCACAGTCCGGAATATTTGCGGAATACACCACGCCGCCGTTGACCCTGGCCATTGACCGGGCAACCCAACGTTCCTACCAGCTCCCTCCGTAGGAATGTGGTATTGTGTAGGGAATGTGGTGTGTGCTTATTCAGACTAGCAATTGTAATACTATTCCTGACCATTGCACAGTACTGTAATATAGTACTGTAAACACATTGACATGCATGTGTGTAAAGTCCTGTGTATAGTCCTACCAATTTCAAAGCTATAGACAAATGCTACACATCTTTAGGATGGATTTCAGTGATCCATTTGCTCATCCACACGTTTTAGTTCATGGACCAGAATGTTGTACCACTATATGTGGAACATATCAAATGATACCAGTGTGTGTGTATATATGGCAAATACAAATGTATTTTGTCATGAGCTACATATTAACTATGCGTATTGAGTAATTTACTTTTTTTGGCAAGTTTTGCTATCTCGGGTGGTATTTTCATGAGTAAAATATTTGGCCGGGGCTCATGGACTTTAATAAGAGCTCTTTCTTAATTTAATTCTAATTTTGACAATTATTTTGCATTTATTTCATGAAAAAAAGAATGCCAGTGAGAAACAGCCTCTTGGATATAAGAATTGGCCTTCTACCTCTTGATTCATGGTCACAATGAGTAACTCTTAATAAACTGTACAGTGCACTGATGTTTTTAGCGTGTTATTAAGCAGCAGTAAATATTACATTTTAAATATTTTCTATTATCAACTTATAAAGTGTTAATTAAATGCATGAGGTGTTAATTATCTGCAAACTTAATTTAATATTAATACTTGTGTAGTGTCAGTAAGACGGAGGCAACATTTGTAGGAAGCACCTTTATTTAACAACTTCCACGGTTTTGTCCTCACACTCTCCACAGTTGCTTAGCCTAGCCTGTACACAACACTAACCATCAAACACTGACAGCGCCAAATGAGATAGCCAGAGATGACAGCAACGACAAGACCAGTCCACTCCCAGAACCGGCAGCCTCGAGCCCCCGCTCTCGGCTCCTTTTATGCTCCCAGCGCGGCCTGGCTCCGCCCTGTCCGCGCCTCCCTTCTTGAACCCACTAGCAGGTTCCAGGGGCCTCCAGAGGGGGTCCTCCGTGACCCTTGCCCGAGTTCCTCTACTCTGCCAACACACCGGTGCTCACGCTCACCGGCGCGTGTACTGTCTGTCCACCACGATTGCCACCGCTGTCCAACAGCCGGCGCTATTACACTACACTTGTTCCATTTAATTTGTTTCAGTATGATGGACTTCCCCGATAACCTTTCTGGTTATGCTGGTAGGAACCACCTGTTTCCACTAGCCCACAGGGGATTATTGTGTCCGTCCGTCCGTCATGCATCCAAAAATGGGAAAGGTCAGGTTGGGTGGAGAGGGGAGGGTGGGGAGGGGCTGGGTGGGGAGGGTGGGGAGGGGCTGGGTGAGGAGGGGAGGGTGGGGCTGGGTGGGGAGGGTGGGGCTGGGTGGGGAGGGGATGGTCACCCCGTGGTGCCCTTATAAAACTCAACGTTTAACCTACTCACGCCGGCTTGTGCCCGCCCTCACAGTCGGACATATTTGCGGAATACACCACGCCGCCGTTAAACCCTGACCATTGACCAAGCAACCCAACGTTTTTACCAGCTCCCTCTGCAGGAATGTGTTGAGGAATGTATTTGTAACTGAGTACATTTACTTACCTCTACATCACACCTATGATTAGTACGGTTGGATACATACGGTGGAAAATAAGTCCTACATACATACATACAAACAAGGATTTTCCCATGTGTAAAGCAGTTTGTGCTTTATTTTGACTAGGAATATCTTTTTGCACAGTGTAACTGTAAATTTCTATAGACGTTAACATATCCAACCTTTTTTCACAATAAGATTGGCAAAATAATAATTTGTCTCTGCTGTCTGGACTAATTGCTGTAACGTTTTTGTTGTAAAAAAATGTCATGCTAAAATAATACTCATAGCAAATGCATAATGCCTCAAGTCTCACACTTTCTTACGAGAGGGCTTTAACCGCCACAATGTACTGTGATTGGCAGGATGGCAGTTTGCACGTCCTCGGTGTGATGGCCAGTGATGAGGGGGTGTATCAGTGTATGGCTGAGAGTGAAGTGGACGGTATGCAAGCTGCTGCACAGCTGGTGGTAATCAATCACGGTGAGTTCTGCTTAATCTATACCCATCATTATAGCACATTGGGAATTTCACGCTTCATACAATGTTCTGCAGTTTGTTAATGTGTGTTGATCGCAGCAGAATTGTGAATTACAGGTAGACCTCGCTTCGTGCTCAAGATGCGTTCCTGGAGAATCAGTGCGAACAGGGGTCATTATATCATTGTATATATGGAGATGCATTCCCGACAGCGTTATTGTTTTTGTATTAGCAATATGAGGGCTTCATTGGGGTATCGGTAATAATGATAATAATACATTGAAGACTACCACTTACGTGGCTTTCTAAATTAAGCTCATTTCTGCTTGGCTGGCTAATACGACCTGGAGGTGAGGCAAATTGGCAAGAGGCAGAGGCCGTTGTAGAGGCTCTATCCCCAAGAGCTCCTAGTTCCCTCCTTTCAGACAATGAAGGGAGGGGGGCGGGGTAGCAGGTAAGGGGAGCCATCTATGAATTGCTTCCCCGCCACATATTGCGCAGTTGGCATTCGCTTGGGCGAAGACGTCTCGCGACGAATGGGTAATCGATAAGGCAAGAGTTCATTGGTTATCCCCCCCCCCCCCCCCCACAGTCTTCTGTGTGAAGTCTCAGCCACCACTGGAACTATAGCGTCCATTTCTATGGCCATTTGCAGAGTAAATTTGGTGTCAGTGGATCTCAAAGACATGTATTTGCATGTGCCAACTTATCAGCGGGACCATGGGTGCCCGAGGTTTAACGATCTGGGAGACCACTGGGAATTTCAAGTCTTACTGTTCGGCTTCCCCAATGGCCTTCACAAAAGTGGTAGTTGCCCACCTAATGGTCATAGGCAACCATGTATATCCTCACCGAGATGACCTACTGATTCGGACAGAATTGGAGAGTATGCTGGAGAAGTATCTCTCAGAGCTGGTGCCAGGACTCCCGGAGCATGGGTTTGTGTTAAATGACTGGAAGTGCAGCTTCATCCCATCACGGAGGCTGACATACCTGGGTGCCATACTTGGAACAACCATGGGTAGGGTGCATGAGATAGGAAAAAAACTGGGCGTTTCTGAAGTGCTGCATCAGTGCTGGCTTTGGGGAAAGGAGGTCAAGTAAGGAGATCCCTCATAGTCCTGGACCATAAGGCTGCAATAGTTGAAATGGCGTATTGGGCAAGGTTACACATGCGGGGACTGCAGTGGTGCCTGTTAGACAACTGGGTGGAAATGTTTCGATGGGTTCCGTTGTTCATGTATATATATATGTATTCACGTTATTTAGAAAAAAAAAATGGGAGCATAATGTCATCATAACCTGACGACATGGTAGGTTGATTCATGTATATTTATGGATGAAAAGTGAACCACTCTCTGCCTAATTAGCATACCGGAAGTGCTGCGGATTCAATCAGCCTCTTTGTCTTAACCCTAAATCCGGCATACAGGCGACACCCCGCACCTACGACCTAATTGGCTCCTGGACGACGGTCACAAGTGGAGCCGTTGTAAGTCGAACCCTTATCTCCCATAAGCGCAATATAATACATTGGGGTTCCATTCCTGGAAACCCATTACATACCATAAAAATACCAAAATTTACCACGGAAATAAATAAAAATAACCCTAACAAACATTTGTTATAACTTAACCTTTACCATCATTTATTAAGTAAAAACAAACACATTTGAAAATCCTTTAGTACTATTCTGCATGTGCGTCACATTGTTTCTTCTCAGACATAGCGACAGGCGAAATATTTTCAAAATTTGAAGAAAATCTACAAACAAATTAAGAGAATTGTGACAGAGACGCTGCGTTCACTCTAGGCCCAGCTGCAGGCTATACTGTACATACACATACGGTGGAAGAGCAAATCAACACCATCAGGCGACGAGTCTGCGCATGACATACGCACACTCGTCGCCTGATAGCGCTGCATTAGTAGCAGTCGTTAGGGCAGGGGTCGGGAACCTTTTTGACTGGGAGAGCCATAAAAGCCAAATATTTCTAAATATATTTCATTGAGAGCCATATAGTATTTTTTACGTATAATAAATTAAATATGTCTTACTTTTAATGCGACTTCTGGTGCTGCATGGTTTTGCTGATGGCCTTGTAGTCTGGTTCATACGTGGTGAGGTTGAGCTTCATGCAGGCGTGACCCGTGACATTTATCTTCAAAACTAATTTCTGTTTACTTTAAAATGACACAGTATTATTAAGTAATATCACAAGTATTTTAAAATCAGTTCCAAACGGATTTTTTTGCCGTCACTGGAAGAGCCATATATGGCTCGCGAGCCATAGGTTCCCGACCGCTGCGTTAGGGGGTCGTAGGTACGAGTTTTGGTCGTTACCGTGTGGGTCTTACTAAAAGAAAGGTTGTAAAAGTGGGGAGTTGCTAGTCGAGCCGTCGTAAGTCGGGGGTCACCTGTACTGGTGTCCAGCTATAATAGGTTTTACCATATACACAAGACCATGTTATTGTGAGTTTCTACAGATATTGAGTAGAGTGGTAATGCGGTGGTTGGCGCACTATGCTACAAACATGGCTTCCTGAGTTGAATTCCTAACTAACATTAGTGACAATTATCTGAACCGGTCCTGAGCTTCCTCTAGGTTAACTCAGCCTAAAATGAGTATCTGGTGTGGTATGTACACTTTAGAAATGGGAACACCACCCTATTCGTGCGTCGTGTTGGCCGTCATAGGTGCTCGTGAACAGCACTTGCCCGAACGATTTAGAAAGGCTTAATGAGAGATGTTGTCTTTTGTCTTTGTGTAAGTTTGTTTATGGTTAATTAAATCATATTAGTTGTTAAATTGTGCTTGACTTCTAAAAATTAAATGGCATATTAAATTAATAATTCGGTCATATCAACATGATTAATGGCTGTATCTCACAAGTCATTAAAATATAGCACAGTTATATCAACAATGTTTTTTTATTGTGCTGTTTTATGTGAACTGTCTTCTGTGCCCAGCCGTCCCTGGTATATTGGCTTCGTCACCTCCACGTGGGATGACAGCTGTGCTGGTGTCTACAAGGTTCATCCGGCTGAGTTGGCGAGCCCCAGCTGAATCACGTGGCAGTGTTCTTCATTACTCCGTGTACTACATGCGTGTTGGCAGTGTCAGGTGGGGACAGGATATTACGCTACATGGAAACAAACCACTTAAAATATGTGCATGCATTATTGGCAAAAGCTGAATTAAAATGGCACTTTAATATTAAAGCGAAAGCACTGATTCTCGTATGGAATTGTTTTTTTATGCCTCCCATAAATATCTCTATCCTTCTTGCAAGGTTCAGGAATTTAAAACACTTTAATCCCTTCTGCACTTACATTTATTGAGAGCTTCTTTATTCCTATTGAAATGATAATTAAGTCTAGGAATACATCCCTAAATGGATTATGCATTGACTACAACAGTATTACCCATATTGCAATATCCCCAGCAATATTTCATAAAAACAATTTAAAATGAGTTTACAAAGCAATTTATGTCTTGATCATTGAAGGCTTTGTTACTCAACTGCTACTAATTGCTAACTATTCACATAGCAATTTAAGATTTAATAATCGGAAACATTTTAAAATGTGAATTTGTATTAGGCTTCAGGGTGTGAAGTGTGCCCTGTAACTCACACCCACCTTCTGTCTGGTCTCTCTATTTATGTGCAATGAAGGAGGGCCATTGCCTGAACCTATCACCGAAATATTTTTATTTTTAAGGCCACCGTGTTATTGATGGATATGTTTTTTTTTGTTATTTGTGTTGGTGCACCACTGCCAACACAGTATCATCAAATAATGTATGGTTAAAGAAGCACATTACAACTCTATTATTTCATTTAGCCAAGCTGAAATATATAGGCGACAATAATGTTCATTCTTATTCTTTGGGTCTTTCGGTAAAGCCACGTAGATAGAAAAATTATGATAAAAAATATAAATATCACGACGACGTTTCGATCGCAACACAAGCAATCGTCATCAGGTGAAAAAATATATATAGTGGGAGGGCTGCTGAGGCAGGATGTTATAAAGGTTTGTGATGTGTGTAACCCAAGGGTCATAAGCGAAGTCGGCGGGGCTAGAGATGAAATTTGCATGTAGATGTAAGATCGGAGAGCTGGGCTGCCTCCACTACGACGACGCTGTGGAGGTGGCCATTTTATTGTGAGAGATTAGCATGTCAATGTAAGAAAAACTAACAACAATGTTCATGATTAGCCATAGTCCAGTTGTGGATGATGACCTTCCCAAGCCATCATCATCTCTCATGTTCCCTCAGTGCAACAACGCACATAGCAGGGAAATAATAAAATAATATAAATATAAAACAATAAAAATTCTCACGACGTTTCGACTGCAACACAAGCAATTGGATTTCACACCTGACGACGATTGCTTGTGTTGCAGTCGAAACGTCGTGAGAATTTTTTTTAAATATTTATATTATTTTATTATTTCCCTTCTACGTGACTTTACCGAAAGAACCAAGAATATGAATGCCTGCAGTCACGAAAACTTTAAATCAAAATTTAACGCACATAGCATCTGCAAATGAGTTTCATTCATCGATCCATCTCCAGCAAAATATACCTTCGGTTGCATTCCCTCCTTTGTTGTTGCCTCTACTATTCTCACTTCCTGGCCATCATCAATTCTCGTGATCTGTGCTGCCTAAGCTTACATTTGTTTGTTAATCGCCAAAACTGCATTTAACGTTTGTGCTATAATCCATTGCTCCTTATTTTGAGAGGTAATATGGTGGCCACACTTAACAATGGGGGAAGTGTTAAACCTTTCAACAGATTATTCGATGTAAAATCTTAAGATAAACAATCATAATATTTGACAATGTTCTTTTGCAGAGATATATTGTGTATGCAAGTATTTTATGGTTTCAAACATATACGTAGTTGTGATGGAGTTCATCACAAAGTAACCTTTCATTAAAGTATATAGCTTATATGGTAATGAAATGAGGACTGTGTCTGTTGCTGTAGTCTGTGGCAAACTACCATTGATGTTGCTGCAATGTACAGGCAAAACACTAAATGTGGACTTTACAAGTAGAATGGGAAACAGCTGCTGGAGATATAATTTCCAAAAGCACAGAGTAAAAACTCGTTTTGGATCAAAAGTTCTTCACCACAAAGAATACATCTATCCACCAAGATGTATATAAATGTGCTATTCCTTACATTCTTCTAGTATAAAAAAGCGTTACAATCAATGTCAATTATAAGTATATATAACCTCCACTTAGTCCAGTATGAATGTTACGTTATTACAGTAATTAAATCCACAGGAGTGAAATCACACTCGCAGAGCTGCATGGGGCTAGGGACACAGAAACCTGATGTCCTGCCTCAGGAATGGAGCGAATGACTTGCTTGGTTAATTTATAAAACAGTTGTGGATCTTGGTGCATACAGGCAGGTCATTTTGGAAGGTGTCCAGTTTATACAAATTATTGCATTTAATACTTTTGAAGTTCTGTGCAAAGCTAGTTACTACTGGCCGAGACGAATTAGAGAATCTATCGAAATTTAAATTAATCAAAATAACTGTAACCGTTTGGATAGCTACCGCCTTGGTGCTGCTTGGAAGAGAATCAAATAATGCATGATTTAAATGCATGCCTATACAGGTCACCATGCTTCAATGGGGATTACCTTTGAATAGACAATAACAGGTACTGCTATTTTTGTACACACAATCGACAGGAGGTACAACAACAATGGGTGTGCATAATGAGCATGCATAATGTACGTTGATTACCATATAAATAACCCAAACCGGCAATGGATATCCATTGCCATTTAAATGCATTCATTAATCTCCATTTCGCTCAAGAAGGGCTCACAAGTGAAGTCATCACATCTACCCCTCTATTTAAGAAACGAAACAGGAGCATTTCTCCATAAATCTGGCTGTCGCCTGATGAAGCTAGTTGTAATTACTGGCGAAATGTCATATGCAGATTGTAAATATTGTGGCTTTGCTCTCCAACACACCGCTGTGCTGTACTAGTCACAAATTGGCCACGTTCTGTTTACGTAACAAACCTGACTAATTGGCTGTGTCGGATGGTAGTGAGTTTTGGTTTTACGACAGCATTTATACTTACACGATCTAACCCCCAAAAAACCTGTTTATGGATGATATTGGTCGCTAAAGTCTCCGCGTTCAACTGATATCGTGCTGTGCATGCTCATAAGAACATTGGTATCTGACTGCCTCTGTCTCGTTGCAGAGAACGCCGTGTTGATACTCTTCAAGTCAGTGAACTACAGTTGGTGGTCGGTGAGCTGAGACCTGAAACTGGCTACAGCTTCCAGGTAGTGGCAGTCAATCAGGCTGGTCCAGGCGAACGGTCTGCCCCACTTCGTATCACCACACAACCTGAAGGTATAGGCATCGCACCAGGGCGGTTGTCTGTAACACTCAGGATTGGATTGTTACTCTGTTATCTGGCACTTGGCCATTTGGAATGCTCTGTTAACAGGGGTCTGTCATAGACGGCAATACAAATATTCCTTCGTCTATCCATAAAGATTCCTGACAGCCATCTGGCATCTTGCCGTGCACTTATCATAGATCTGTTGTTTACCCGAGTTTCAGGACGCCGCCGAGTGGTGAAACGAGCGGCAGTGCGTACATACAGTACTGTACTGCTGTATATTATACCAAGGCCGTAGCCATGGAGTCAACATTGGGGGGGGGACCAAATCTTCCAGGGTGTCTGGGGGTCCCAACCCAGAAAAAAAATCTAAATTTGAAAACTCATTTCCTGCCTGAAATATGAAAAAATGCAATAACACATGGGATGGACTTTGTTTTTTACAATAATATCTAATAGTATATTCTATTCAATTCTTCTGTTTTTTTCTTTTTTACCTTTTCTTGTTTCATTGTATGTAATGGCAGAGATTAGGGATTAATAAAGTACAACCCTAACCACAATCACATAAACAGAAATCTATGCATTGATTTATATGAAGACAAGTCCAGATATTGTGGCCAAGGTTTAGCAAACTGTAGTTTGTATTTACATAGCATAGCAATTATTTTTTTATAGCAAAATATTGGGGGGGACATTTTGAGCATATTTGAATATTGGGGGGGAGATATGTCCCCCCAATCTATATTATAATTACGGCCTTGTATTATACTCTACATGGTCCCACTGGTTCTCTATAATAAACTTAGAATGCTCTACAACTGGCTGGTGAGTATCTCTATAAAATATTGTATTTTAATATCACAGTTAAAATTTAGGCTTAGTGTCTTTCTTGAAAAGTATTGCGTACTTGGAAAATTAAGTTTATAACTTTCAGATAACCGGCGTATTTAATTAATCAGCACCCTCCATTCCCCATAGAAGCCGGATAACAGAGCTTTTGCTGTCGTATGCATTACACTACAATACAGATGCGGTTTAATTCTCGACAAAACCTAACAAGTATAATTTCACAACTAAAAAAACATTAAAACATTTCCAAAAATATACGCGTTTGATTGAAACATGAGAATATTCAATCTCTGTGTTACTCTCGTTTTTTCTTTTGAGTAGAAGGGACTTTATATGGAGAGCAGTCAATGGTGCAGATAAAATAGGATATCTCATTGGTTCTGTATAAGTAGTCCATATAAATGACGTGGCATGAGCCATGCTACCATTAAATAAATTATACTAAGCCCAGCTGAAGAGACCGTTTAATAATGATAGTATCCCTCGTTGTCACACTTCTGCCATAAATGATGATTTTTATACAGGAGACCCTTGAACATTGTCGGGGTTACGTTCTTAGAAAGTGTCGCGAAAGCCAACGGCGATGTTCAATACTTAAGCATGTTACTGCCTTGCCCAAGATTGCATGAAATGCTGAAAAAGTAGCAGAGATCGATGTACTTATGCAATTTGTGGACTTCTATACAGTAAAACCTCGTTATTTCGGTATTTGATCATTCGTTATTGGGGATAATTCGGCACGGCTGCGCTTTCGGCAAATAGTGTATATTAGTAATTCGCCACGAGCCAAATTGCCGTACCGAATGGTCCAATTTTGGCAAACCCGTGGAGTCACGCCGTGTGCCACGACCAAAACGATGACTCAGTTTAGTGGCGGCGAGCATGGTGAGCGTTCGCGCAGAGCTGGGAAGTAAGTAAAATGTAAAGTTTAATACTCTTTGGTTCTTTCGGTAAAGTCACGTAGGTATAAAATAAATTAAATTAAATTGCCGTGGTAAGAGGTTATACAACTCTTCTCTACCACTTCAGCAAAAAATTATTCTTGCTGTGGTTTTCCCACCTGATGACGGATGCTTGTGTTGCGCCCGAAACGTCGTGATTTATTTTATTATATACCTACGTGACTTTATCGAAAGAGCCAAAGAGTATGGATCCCTGCAGTCACGAAAACTTCAAATCTAGATTGTAAAGTTTAAGTTAGTGTAATTTGGCGTCTACGTTATAATTTAGAGATAAAGTGAACATACAGTATAGTAAGTGTGCATTAAGCCTCCCTCCACAACCTCTGTCAACTACCACATGGAACCTACCTCATCCTCCTTCGTCTGTAGTGCTGGTTACTAATGGAAGTGTTAACTTTTTTCGGAAAATAATTTTTGGATAACAAATTTAGATTGTTGTTGTTGTTGTATTGGAACAGGAGACACGGGGGAGTACCATTGTACGTCATTTGGAATATTGGATAATTCGGCAAGGCCAGAGCCCCATATGTGTCGAATTAACAAGGGTTTACTGTACTTTATTTATTTATTTCGTGACTTGCTAAGCTTTCTTATATTTTGCTCTCCTATTGGGTTTTGTATTTTTTTTTTTACTTTCTGACCCGCCACTACCGGACATCTGTGAAAGAGCTTCAAAGCTCATCAGATTCTTCCTTTCAAAATTATAAATATTCTGATTCTTAATTGATAAATTGCATTACAGGCAGACCTCGCGTAGCGCTCAAGATGCGTTCCAAGAGAAGTGAGCGCAAATCGAATCGGATGCTTTCCTGACAGCGTTATTTCTTCCGTATGAGTAATATATGAGGGCGTCATTGGGGGTATCGGTAAGAGCGCTAATAATAGACATGGTACATTTTTTATAAATATGACGTTTTTTTAATTATAATAATATCAGCATCTTCCACCTGATGCTCACGACCTACAACATCCTGATACTCGCCCACCTGGAACCCCCATCACCTGCATTTTAACATCCAAAGTGAAACTTTTCCTTGACAGTTTAGTCACATTTCCAGAACTAAAACTCGCAGGCTTTTTTTCCCAGAAATGGGTCTAAAAAACTCACAAAAACCCACCAATAAGCAGAGAGACCATAGTTTGGTTAATAGGCAAGAGCCTGCTGATGAGTCTCATAGAAGTTGAAACAGGTCCAGGGTACTCTTTGACTTAACGGTAATGATCTGTATATTTTGACAGTGAAACACCCTTCCACCTTGATTGCTTATGTTACAAGGAAAATCACAAAGTGATTACAAAAAAAGCATACCTGCCATTCCGTCTTCAGCAGGACTGATTTCTGAGGCATTGCTACAAACTCGGGTTGTGGTCCTAATTAAAACACCTGAGCACTTCCATTGGCTAATCATTATTTATTTTTACTTCCACATTTTATGATTCAATGTAATGAAATCTAATTAAACCTTATAAAGTAAAATGATTGTCTTAATATTGTTGTATGGTATTCACATGTCAGTTTGAAAACACAACTGAGAATAATTAGCACTCTAAATGAAATTGAACTTTTAGGATGTTTTATTTTAGGTGGGTGGCATGATACAAAACTTTTCATAAGATTAGTACAGTTGTGATCGATTTGAATTTTCTGAAGCCCATTCCTTAAAACAAATGTTTGGCAGACCTGCTGATGGAACAGTAAAAGGCAGTTTGAGAATGGGTGATGGTGCCCTCCAAGTGACTGAAAACTCCGTACAGATAAAGGAGTTACAGCTCTGTGGGGTTGAACTGAATTAAATTTCGTTTGGAGTACCATTTTTGAATATTGCAATGTAATGCTTTTAGACGGTAATAGAGGCAAAGACAATATATAACTCAACTCCTACATGACTTTACCGAAAGAACCAAATAATATAAATTCCTGCAGTCACTAAAGTTTTGAGTCAAAATTCAATAGTTGCTGTTGGATGTCTCTTTTGCAATGAAAGTGCACAAAACAAGATAATTTATAGACCTACTAGCTTTACTACCCGGCTTCGCCCGAGACTTGGATTTGTGTCTTGGATTAATAGACGGCCTACACGGAGGGTGGGGGGATGCGTGACGTCAGCAGGCACACTGCGTGACGCTGCCGCATGCGGGTGACATCACAGATGTGACGTCACCGCTCACTTGCCGTGCAAAATATATCCATTATTGTACCCCGCCTCCCAAAAAATACAAAAGTCTATTTTTATACTTTTTACATTGTGTACAGTCTGGAAGCTAACCCACATGCCAAATGTCTAGTTTGTTGCATGTTCGGAAGTATGCTAAACATTTCGAACAGACACACATTCACAAATTTCCCTTTTATATATATAGATATACCCATTAAGTTATAAAGTAAACTTGAATAGAAATGTCGCATTATATTACTTCTGAAGTTGTACTGAAAACTTGCTGATTATTTAATTGTTTGTGTTTGTCCAGTACAAGTTCCAGGACCGGTTCTAAACCTACACGTCGTAGCCATCTCGACCACCTCAGTGAGCCTCCAATGGGACCCTCCTGCAAATGTATTCAGCCCCATCATGCATTACAAACTCTACTACATGCAGCTCGATGGGGAGGCTACCACTGAACACGTGAGTGTCATGTCCTAAATTTTCCATTACACATGTGACAGATAAGCCATTCACTTGTGAATGTGTAATGACTTCCAACCCTTAGGTATACGTTCACACCTCTGTTACATGTACGCAACGTTGCTCATCATGACACCTATACCAAATGTTTACGAGACTTTATCCCCAACCTTTTGTTTCCCACATACCACAAGGGGGCTTCCTCAGTGACACGTGTCAACCTATATTTTGAACGAGAGGACATATATGATTAAACAGATTCCCTTTACTTAAAAAAACAACTATTTTGGAATTCTCTACTCCTCTCCCAGGAATCTTTCTCATTGAGCACAACATACTCTTTGGAAGTTTATTGAAATGTGATCGACTGCTCTTTTTATACTAACATTCAAACTTTGTGAGATATTTTTAATTGTTCGAGGTAGTTGACATGTCTCCGGTATATTACGTGTTGTTTTTAGTCATTGTTTCATTTGAACTAGTTAATATATTAGAATAGATCATTAAAACTTTTCAAAATAGCAAGCAGTGCAAATGTATTGTTCGCTTTGGATATAAAATGGTTTCATCTGCTACTGACACTGATGAATTATTGTTCAGTGGAATGCTACTTATGAATGTTACTTCAACATAAAGTAGAAATAATAAAACACAAATATGAACACAAGATCTACAGCTATAATACCACCATTTAAGATAACCTAAGTTTCTCTGAAGAATTGCTTTTCCAAACAAGTTTCATTTGTCAATACATTTCACAATGCCACCTCTGCCATAGGGTACAAAAAAACACCCTCTTTGCCCCACTGGTCTACATAGATAAGGTGGCATATCAGTGAACAAAGAGCATCGCTTGAAAAGTCAAACCGTTGTGAGGAAAATAAGAGGTGGAGGCTTATATGCCCAATATTAGAGCGCACTAGGCAACACCGCTACGCCAATACTTGTGGTTGTCATGCAGCTGAGTCACGTCGTCCCATAATATTTCGATGACCTTTAAATTGTCATGAATTGTGTGTCTCCAATTGCTTCTCTGTTACATTTTTCTTTCTCTGTATTCTACTTCATTGCCTGCCTTGTAATGCAATTCTCATCCATACGATATAGATGGCCTTACCATCGTAATAGTCTCATCCTGATATCATCCATCTTTGATAGACGAATGTGGATCGTTACCTCTTGGTTGGTGACCTCGTCCTTCCAGACTATCCCAATGCTCTTTTGCAGCCATGTCTGGTGTGCTGCTTCAAGATGCTTCATGTTTGCCACGGTGCCGTGTTTCCATCCATACAGCAAAATTGTTTCTGCTATTAGTTGATATAGTCTGATCTTGTCCATTCTAATTAGTATCTTATTTTTCCAATTAAATTTCATCTTCCAAATGTTCCATTTTCTTTTCCTTCCCTGGCTTTAAAGTCGTTATCAGCGTGCGTGTTACTGGACAGAAAACTGCGCAAATATAAAATATTCTCTTCAGTTTATCTATGCTTTCAAATGATCTTAGTCATAAAATCGCCAAGTTCCTACTTTCAGGATTTGTGTTTTATTCGCATTTAAATGAGGTAAAACTTAAAAATTATACTCTTTCACCATTTTAGTCGATTCCTGCATTTTAGCCTACGCACAGTCTGTCCGAGCATTATAATCCACAAAGTGCAGTTTATATTAGATTGTCATCATTGACTCATGCCAGACGCAACACCAAGTTTGTTGGCTCTCTTTTCATCACTATGTCAATTATCAGAGCAATGGTGAAATCACACAACCTTGTCTCACTCCTGAGATTAACCCAAACCTTTTTCTTCACTGGCTATCTTGCCTCGCTGCACATCTAGCTCCAGTGGCGGCTCCTGCAAAATCTCTCAGGGGGGGCAAATGTCTGGATGATTGATAAGGATAAGGTCCACCCATGCAATGGATAAATTAACAGCTTAAGCATGTAAAGGCAACTTCACTTCTTTAATACTAATGAAAAATAAAGTGACTCTTACAATACATCTTATTTGTTTCTGTACTCACTATTAAAACAAACCACTCAAGTTTATTTTATTAAAGATTCCACTAGGTGGCCACAAATTATATTGTTGGATGAAACGTGCTTACGTATGATGACGTAAGCACGTATGATGACGTAAGCACGTTAGGGCGAGCCCTCCCGGAAGCCATAGAGAATGCATTGCAGCGCCTCCGTTCGAAAAAAAACATCTTTGAATGTAAGTCTATGGGGCCGCTCGGGGCGATTCTCAGCTGGAGGGAAATCGCCCAAAAAGAGGCGGTACTCCACAGAACGTAGCATGACGCTGATTGGACTATATCCAGAGGCACAGTGACGGCTAGCGTGACTCTGTGGTTCAATTACATTGGTGATGCGTCGCCCAATCGCCCTAATGAAGAAACCGCCCCTGTCTAGCTCCCATATACAAGTGTTTGATGCCTACGATCTTCTCAGGTACTCTGGTATCCCATAACTTTTTAAAATATATACCATAGTGACAACATGTACGTATAGTCAAAATCGTTTATAAAGTCAGCAAAAGTATGGTCAGACCTCTCTTAGCGCTCAAGATGCCTTTCTGGAGAAGTGAGCACTCATTGAGTCGGTGCTAAAAGGGCACATTATACCATTGTATACATGGGGATGCATTCCCGATTGTGTTATTTATTTTTTATGAGAAATATATGAGGGCTTCGTTGGGGTATTGGTAATATAGCTAATAATAATACAGGTGTTAAACATTATTTCATGATTTCGATTTAAAGCTTTCGTGACTGCAGGGATTCATCTGAGGACAGCTGCTTGCGTTGTGGCCGAAACGTCGTGAGAATTATTTTATTATGTTTTATTTTTATTATTTTATTACTTCCCTTCTACGTGACTTTACCGAAAGAACCAAGAAGATACTTTCATGAATAAAGAATAATAAAGTACAGTTTTAGCACTGGTAGATTGCGCACTGTGCAGACAATACGCCGTTGCCTCGCCCCCAACCCCCACCTATCTCTGCCCCCAGCTCCCCCTACCCCACACCCCCACCCCTCCCTCTCCCTCCTTGCTCCTCCCCCTTTCTTACCTATATAACCTCTTACCACGGCAACTCTCTCTCCAAGTTCAGCAAAAAAAACGTCTTGCTGTGGTTTTCCCACCTGATGATGATTGCTTGTGTTGCAATCGAAACGTCGTGATTTAATTTATTTATTTTTATACCTACGTGACTTTACTGAAAGAAGCAAAAAGTATAGTATTCCTCCTACAAGGCAGCAGAGGTCGCAAACGGGTTTTGATTCCTTACCCGTACCCGGCCGCACCAGGGTCGCAAACGGGTACCCGTACCCGGCCGTACCCGTACCCTACCCATACCCGGCCGGGTACGGGTAGGGTACGGGTAGGGTACGGGTATCGGGTACCTGATTACGACCTCTGGGATGAAGCCATGTTGCAGGCGCGGGTGGGTTGATTCTAGGAACTTGAATTGTGAGAAGAGACAAGACGTTGGGAAATGAGTGACAAACAGTTACTCACCAGTGACTTACGGCCTACCCGTACCCGTACCCGGCCGCACCAGGGTCGCAAACAGGTACCCGTACCCGTACCCGGCCGGGTACGGGTAGCCGGGTATCGGGTAGGGTACGGGTATCGGGTACCCGGTTGCGACCTCTGCAAGGCAGTGGTGGGAGATGAGTTTGGAGAAGCTGCTGCACTCCCAATCCGGGTCATTCTCAGAGAAGAGTTCCAGGACCTCCGTGATCTCAGTGATGCCCTCAGTCTAAACTTCTGTGGTGGAGTTTCTTTTAGGTGGAGCCTGAGACTATAACCTCTGCCCTGTGAGTTCTCAGCTGGCTAAATAAATGCTTTACTGTAATAACATGTAAAACACTTTTTTTTTTTTAATTAAATTATGACTAAGAATCGTGATAATCGACTCACGGGGTGGGGGGGGGGGAATCTGGTTAGCCCAGAGCTCTCAATGTCACTCGCATTGCCTGAGTGAATGATGGGGGTGGGTGCGTTTACTCGGCCAGTACTGCATGTTCTCTTGCCCATCGCGGGGGTTGCATTCTTGAAAATAGCCACAATTGGCAAATCTGTGATCCGCAAATTCAGAGGCATATGGGTAAAAAAATTGTTTGGTTCACAGTTCGAAATACAACCCTCTCTCTCCTTATGTTTTATGTTACCCTACATTAACCCATAGATGAAACAGGAAGTGTTTTGTTATGTAAAATATTATTCATATTTTATATAGTGATCATTAATCACTAAAAATACATAACCAAACAAATAAAGATATATACTAGAGGTCTGAACATGTGCATCCACATGTCCGTACCTCGACACTGCCTCTATACCATGGCTCCATCAAATTCAAGAGTATCTGAAGACACCAACCATGCAGGAGATCCAACAGGCCATGAAAAAACTCAGCAATGGGCATGTGGCCTGTCCTTAGTACATCTCCCCCGAGTTGCTCAGATGTGCAGAACATCAATCAGTTTAGCCCATCATGACCTCTTCTCAAAGGACTGGAAGTTTGGTTTGGCCATGTTTGTTTGTTGTAGTACGGAGTTAGAATGATGGCTTTAATCTAAGTTGTCTTGTGGTTGTTGTTGTTGTTGTTTGACTTGCATCCCACTGGGATTTTTGCTGAGCGTTGGTGTACAATGCTTTTTTCTGGAAGACTTTGCAGTTTTTTCCTGGATTTTTCTGTTTGCGCAGTCACTTTAAGATGTTTTCTTGTTAATGTTTTTGTTTTTTGTTTGTTGCGGTTGCACCCGATTCAAGAGCCGAATGGCTCATAGGGCTACACCAAATAAATGAAACTGAAAAACTGAAAACTGGTCGAGTTCTAGCCGAATAGAGGGAAGGTATGATTATGACCCTCTACAAGGGCAATAGGCCGATGTCCTGTGGCAACTATTGGCCTATTCAGTTGTGCTCAATGCCTGAAAAGGTATTTGCAAATGTTCTTCTTGTACATTTGCACCCTCTACTCATGCGGCGCTATTGGCTGCAAGCAGTCTTGATTCGCAAAAGAGCGATTTACCATGAATGAATGCTAGCTTTTCATCTTCTACCGTGAGTTCTACAAACCCCAACAGGATGTACACATTGACATAAAGGCTACTTTCAGCTCGCATTATTGAAGGCTTTGAGAGCCATGGAAACTCTACTTTTTCTGGTTAATGTCATCTATAATCGGTTATCTGGGTCAATTTGACGTATCCAGATGGGTAGGACTTATCTGGACATTTCACGACACTATCGGGCGTCCGCCAAAGCGGCTTCCTTGCCCCCGCCCTCTTCTGCATCGCAATTGACTGGATCATGCCTATGTGCTTGAATGCCTTTGGCAAAACTGTCAAGAGAACATTTGTTTACTGATCTAGATTATTCTGCTGATGTTATTTTTACAGAAGACTCAGCAACATGGCCCATAACATTGACTAGTTTTGACCAGGCAGATAACATTCCTTAAACCTCCTGGACAAAAACTAAACTTAATAATTAGATTTTTGTGGCTCTGCTCCTTCCCACATCTATATATGCTGGGTCAGGCACTGGAATCTACCAATAGGTTCACATATCTGGGCAGTAACATAGACTCCTCCAAGTATTCCACCGATACCGATTTATGCATCGGCATTGCCAATCCATCTTTAATAATTGCAACTCGGTCATGATTGGAGATAGAGCTGAGCCTATCTGCAAAACTGCCAATATAACTTCCGTGTTGTTTCAGTTTTGTTGTATGGGGCTGAGAGATCTGCATTATGCTGAAGGCTGACTCAGATAAGATACGGGCTTTCCAGTGTTGCATCCTTGGCATCAACTGGTTTGACTTTGTCAGCAACAATGGGGTTGCAGAGCGCATCGGTCTGGGTGAAATTTCCAGCCTGGTTGCTGCAAGGCACCTGGCTCTGTTTGGCAATGTCAGACAGATCCCTGTCAACAGAACCGCTCATGTTGCTCTCAACTTCTGCGTTGCTACCCAATGACATGGCACAAGATCTGGCAGTGACTGGCAATGGTTCCCACGCTGGCCCAGACACAACTGGTTTCAGCAGGCTAGGACAAAATTTGGGAGCCTTGGCTGATGACACTTTAATGCTGCGGATAACCGATCGACGTGGGGGGTAGTACGAATCGCACTGGTCAAGCGCATCAGTGAGTTTCAACATTTGTGTCTGTATGTTTCGAATGCTGGTAAATTGTATTATTACATCTGATTTCTGGTACTTTTTGGAAGAGTGATGGTAAAACTGCCCACCCTTTTTTGGCCCCTCTCTCCCGATACTTTCCATTCATTGGCTGCCACATTCTGATGAGCCCCCCCCCCCTCTCCTCCCCCCTCAACTCGCTTTTAAGGGATTGCATCTTGAATCGTTGCCTCACTTGATGCAGCTAATCTGGCTGTGACTGTCCCACCTGATGACGGAGACTTGTGTTGCCTCCGAAACGTCGTGATCTTTATTTTATTTTATTATTTTTATTAATTTTGATGTTTTACCTACGTGACTTTACCGAAAACACCTAAGAATAGAATTGTGATATTTTCTCGTGCTGTAAATTGCTGACAAGAGTAGCTTATAGAGGCTTACACCGAGGTAAATAACTCTGAGCAGTGAATTTCTCTTCCCTTTGAGTATGAAATCGATTGGATGTGTTTAATGTGTGGCATGTCACAGGATCAGGACACCGATGGTCCATCCTTCACAAAGGAAGGCCTCAGGAAATTCACCCGTTACAGCTTCCGTGTGGTGGCCTACAACAAGCACGGGCCTGGGGTGTCCTCTGAGGACACTATCGTTCGTACATACTCTGATGGTTTGTGGCTTGCACCTTGACCTATGTAAAACTATATATATATTGGTACATAATTAGAATATAATTAAAAACTTTAAAGTGTTTTATTTTTTTGTAAGATATATTGTCTATAACGGGAAGGTTTTTTTTTTTATATAAACTTTTATATTAATGTAAAACATTTGTTTCAATAACTTTTTTTGGTGTTTTATTACACACTCATATCGAGGTGCTGTTCTCAGATTGTCCCATCTGTGATGCTCTATGAAAACATTGCAGAATATCACAAAGAGGAGTTTGTAGCTGTGCATAGGCCCCATCTGTATGTAGATATGTAGGTGGAACCAACATGCATACATATATGCACAATTCTTCAGTGTGATATAGTGTTGTGTATGTATGTACAAACACTCTTATACTCCCACGGAATATAGGAGTTCTCACAGACCACATGGGCACCACAAATTTTAGGATTTGTGGATAAGAAGAGCATAGATACAGAGGGTTCACTCTCCTGGAGTTATATTTTCGTTTTCCAAGTCTGGTTTGTATTCATCATGTTTCCATTGTTATGTGCAGTTTTGTTGGTTATATTCAGGATCAAGCTTTGTAAATTGTTGATTTTAATATATTTAAATGTACATCATTTATACAATATGCTGTCCAAAGTGTTAATAGACTGTTTTCTAATGCTTCCTCTATCTTGTGCAGTACCTAGTGGATCTCCACAGGAACTAATACTGGAAGTGGTGAACTCACAGGTAAGTGACTTTTATGGCTTTCCAAATCTGATATTACCCAGGTGTTATTACTTATCCACCCTACAACTATTATATTAATCCATAAGCTTCATTGCTTTGCGCACATTTTCTTTGGGATGAAAAAGTTGATTCAGGGCATCACAAACCCCTCATATATATTTTGCGTTTTAAACCCAGTGCCATTCACATGTAAGGAGTGTGCACATTTTCATTTAGTTTTCATAGCTTCATACAATGTAGATATTTGAAAATGAGATGGGGTGGCATGGTGGCAATATATTATTTCCCTTGCATGGTATGCAGGAAGTCATGGGTTCGATGCTGACCCTGATGCCGATATGCTTGGAATTATCATGTTTTCCACATAGTCCCATTGACTTTTCTCCAGGTCGTCCGGTTTTTCTCTCCACATTTATAAACTTGCCTTTAGATTATTTGGCTATGATACATTCCAACATAATACGCCAATTCTATGGGTTCGTGTGTGGCCAGATCACCTCTGCAAATGAGCTACTATCTCAGTCAGCTTTGCCTGGTAAATAAAATATCTTTGTTTAGAGCAACTCTCCACCGTTTTCAATTCTCATCCATGCGAACTCCATCCCTTACTGTGAGAGTTGATCTTAGCTAGACAACCACCAAATGCCTCAAATGAATGCCTGCGAGGGTCCATGAGTGCAGGTGGTTAGCCACAGTCGCAGCCCAGTGACATGTCTTGTGTTTGTTTATTCAGCCTTCGAAACTCACTCTCTCAATTGAAAACCAACGGCATATATCAAATATAAAATCAACATTGAATTGCATATAAATCTTGTATGAATCTATCGCAGCAGACCGATCAGGACAACACAATTCACAGGATAAGTCTTCAAGGAAAAAAGAGAAAGTTTCAAGTTTTATTTATTAGGTTTAGCCCTGTGAGCCATGCGGCTCTTAAGTCGGGTGTAACCGCAACAAACAAAATATGAACACAGAACATCCCAAAGCGACGACGCGCAAAAGAAACATCCTGGAATAAACCAGCAAATATTCCAAAAAAAAACTAATTAAAACGCTGTGTGCAAAAATCACAATGTGGTGTAAGCCAAGCATATATCTCCAACCATTACTAGGCAATGGCAGGTCTAAGAGAACCATCAAGGCGACGTTCAAGGCTAGTCCCAGAGTTCCTTGAACATGGAAGGTCTGCCAGTGCTATCTGTAAAGTAATGGAAGCATTTTAATTCCGTGTCTGACATTATAGCTCTTATTTTTGGACCTTCCTGGTGTCATTACACCTGTTTATTACAGCTCTTAAAATCACTGGAGCATAAAAAAATATTCACCTCGTACTTTTCTTCGTGAAGGATATATAGTTGGTCACTTTACAAATTATTTTCTTAACATAAAACATAAGGAGAGTTTGCGGATCACAGATTTGCCAATTGTGGCTATTTTCAAGAATGCAACCCCCGCGATGGGCAAGAGAACATGCAGTACTGGCCGAGTAAACGCACCCACCCCCATCATTCACTCAGGCAATGGTAGTAGTTATAGCAATAGGCCAAAGCGTTCTACGTATTGTAATTATGTGAGAGTAATTGCATAAACTCGAACCTTGACATTTGCAGAGTGTCCTTGTGCGATGGAAACCACCTTCACTGGAGACACACAATGGGGACATCACTGGGTACAAGATCCACTACCGCAAGGCGGGAAGGCGTGCTGAAGCAGAGATCGAAGAAACAGCACATTTGTCCTATCTTGCCGTGGGTATGTATGTTTGTAGACACGACATCAATGGGTTTTTGTTCATTCATGTCCATATATGCACACGGGGCACGACAAAACGAATTCCCGTTTTACCAAATGAACCCCGGCTCTTGCATAATGTCTGTGACGCAGTCATTTTTAGTCTGTTGATGGTCGGCGATGCGGCAATCGACTCATCTCGACGAGCTGCACACGATGCACTATTCAAAGTTAAATTTTTCGATGACGGATTTTGTTATGCTGATGTTTGGCGTTTCGACATCGCGGAGTAGCAGCACTGATTTCGGATTGATTGGTACCCCAGTCGCGGAGTTAAATACACCCCTGGAAAAAATTGTGTCCCAGAAATAAAATATTTAATTGCCTCGGCCATTTTGTATTAATTGGTACCCTGGGGTACGGCCATAAGGATCAAATATAAAACACCTCATTCATGTGTGTTTGACATGTTGGCCAGACAATGTATAATTATTATTGTACAAATGCAAATGTTCATTGGTGGGAGAGTCGATATTGTGCTTGCATATATATGTACTAAAACATGTCATGATGAGCCTCTGACACCTGCACCGCAGTATCTGCATTCACACAACATCCTAAGAGTAGAATTCATGAGGCTGCAACAAGCTTCAAATTCCACCCCATAGCACAGACCTAGGAAAAGGAAAACTTCTTTGCAGAATGAAAACAAATCTATCAATACAAATTACAAAATTTCTCGGTCTATCCAAGCAAATCTGATCAAAGTGAATCTGTGTAATGCTTCTCATTGTTCTTTTAATGCTTTGCAATTCAGGTTAAAAGAGCTAATGCTTTAGCTGTGTCCATTTGTCTGTATTTGTCGATCTATCTGTCTTCTCTGAAACATGTGGTCATGCGATGACTGTCTTAAAGAGGATCCAGTGTAAATACATTCTACCATGAAGTTGTTGTAATTAGGAACATAAAATAGAGAAAAGCAGGCCAATCATCAATGTTTTACCTAAAACCTATGGTGTTTTAAATGGACATTTTTCAGTCTTTTTGGTCAGTGCTATAATGTCCCATGCTCTCCGTGATGCCATTGCATTACATGTGACACACATGCTAACCTCCCCTCGCATTTGGCATCATCAAATGTGACGTCCTTTTGACGTTGTTACCTGCGACATTCATTTTGGGAGAGTTTTAACCACATCGACCCTTACACTGCTGAGGGGATTGCCTGTCCTACCTGCGGTAAATTTTACTTGTGTATTATGTTTTATATCCCTCTGCACATTATTATGAATGTCGATCTTAAATTTATGCATTTTATAAATTGTTTATTTAAATCCTTTTCGTCCAAGGCGATGACATCAAACCCCGTGTTCGTGTTCCTACCGATGGCTTCATAATATGTGACGCCATTGGAATCTATGTATGTTGAATTTCCTTCGCACGGTACGTCGCCAACCAGTGCCAATCAGAGGTGCAGGGGAAGGAAAATAAACTAAACACAAAACGCAGTTCTAAGGAAATTTCTTTTCAATGTAGATTTAAAAGTGCATAGCACCAGTGGCTTCCGAATATTGAAAAGAAGAGCATTCCAGATGGCTGCACAAGCGCATCTGAGAGCGTGCGATGCAGTGACCATCTTTGTTCGATGGCGAGCCAAAAGCCGCTGCGAGGATGACCAGAGTTTATGCTGCTTGGCTGATCAGCGAGGTATTGGTGGTTCATTTGTGGCAAGCACTTCGTATGTAATGAGTGTGTCTTTTGCAGGTTTTTTGGGTTAAATCGCTTAAATATATAAATGTGTCGTTAAACCCGCCACCGCCCGACACAGCCAATTAGTAAGGTTTGTGACGTAAACTAAACATGCCAATTTGTTACTTGTACAGCACTAGTGTGTAGTGTATAGTGTAGTGTATAGTGTAGTATATAGTGTAGTGTATAGTGTAGTGTATAGTGTAGTGTACTTGTACAGCACTAGTGTGTAGTGTATAGTGTAGTGTACTTGTACAGCACTAGTGTATAGTGTAGTGTATAGTGTAGTGTACTTGTACAGCACTAGTGTGTAGTGTATAGTGTAGTGTATAGTGTAGTGTATAGTGTAGTGTACTTGTACAGCACACCTGTATGTTGGAGAGCAAAGCCACAACATTTACAATCTGTTGGCGGGTTTAACGACACGTTTATATATTTACGCGATCTAACCCATAACACCTGTATTATGGATGATATTGGTCGCAAAAGCCTACGTGTTAATAGACCTGTTAATGTATCGTTTGGCAACTGGAAGCCAATGCAGCTCTGCGTGCACTGGACGGCGGACATGGTCGGATCTTGCAGTACCCATCACAACACTTGACAGAGAATGTTGTACATGCTGCAGCTTGGTAATGTTTTTGCCAGACGTCCCATAGAGTAGTGAGGTTCGATAATCGAGCCTTGTCGATACTATGCTACATGCCACCGTGTTGGCTATGTCATGGCTCTAATAGTAGTTGAAAGTGTTGTAGAGTCATGATATTAAAATCGCACGATGGACACATAAGAACATAATACAGATTACAAACGAGAAGGGGCCATTTGGGCCACTTCGCTTGTTCAGTTACGTTAAGGAGATAGATTCTAGTATCTCATCAAGTGATTTCTCAAAGGGTCCCATGTGAGAATCAGCTTACACCACCTGTTTGAGCAGCCTATTCTACTCCCATCACTTTTTATACAAAAAATTGCCTCCTGGCCTCGGTCCTGAACTTCCACCTGAGGCATCTGGTGCTATTCTCCGTGTTAAGCGTGGGTGATATGTTGTAGACCTGAATAAAGTCCACATTAATTTTTCTCTCTTCTAGACTAAAGAGATTTAGTATTTGATCTGTGTATGATCTGTCATTGAGTCCAGGAACTTCTCGAGTTGCTCTCTAATGGACTCCCTCCAGAACAGTAATGTCATTTTTGTATAATGGTGAGCACTCCAAGTGGGGTTGAATGAGTGCATTCTATGCCTTTTAGCATGACATCCCTGGATTTATATTCAACACTTTTCACTCAACACCCAAGCATTGTAATGTATTTTTCATTCGCTGGTTTGTCTGGATTGAGGCCAGTGCTTAGTCAACTTTTAACTCCTAGATCCCTTTCATATGTTGTTTCCACAAGTTCCATACCTACTATGCGATATTTGTATTTTATGTTTTTTTTCTACCTACTTTTATTGTTTTCCATTATGTGTATTAAATTAAATTTGCCCTGGTGCCTTCCCAGTTTTGGATTTGGTCTAAATGTTTGTGCATTTTCTTTACTGCTGTTTTCCACATCCCCCTAGATCTCTATAATATGCATATTTCACCAGTTTTCTCACTGTATCAGAATCTAAGCTATTAATAATAGGAACAGCAATGGTTCCAGTACTGATCCCTGAGGTACTCCACTAATTACCTCTCCCCAATTTGTGGTTTCTCCATTTATGACGACTTTTTTTTATGACGTCAGACAGCTCTTGAGCCACTTGCTTGGATTCCCTAAAATGTCAGCGGCTTCGATTTTTAGTATTAATCTTTCATGTGGGACTAAGTATATTACGCTGTATGCTCAGTTTGTTTCCACCATCACCGTGCCATCTCACAAATCAAATAAATTAGTTAAGCATTTGCTTGATCTGCCTTTTCTGTTTCTATGTTGGCTTTTTCCTAAATCTGTTACTCTATAAGTAGTTCGCAAATTTAGATCTAATTATTTATTGCCCGAGCTTGCATGTAAACCAATTGAGACTAAATTGTCGGTAGTTATCTGGGTCAGTATTATCTCCTTTTTTGTGGATGGGTATTATATTTGCAATTTTCCAATCGGTTGGCACCTCCATGGTGTGAAGTGACATGCTTTATGGATGATGTCCCTAATTTCAACGTGTACCCCTGGATATGCACCTTCCAGGCCAAATTATATATTATTATTGAGTGCTTCTAGCCCCGCGAACACTTCTCTCTCCTTTATATGGAAATCTTTTTAGATTGAGGCTTGTACTTTAGCCTGAGGTATTGCATTTGTCTGCTTTGGTGAACACTTCTATGACGTGTTCATTTACTACATTGACCAGTTCCTGTCTGTCGTCTATAATTTCACCCTTTTCAGTTGTTACATCTTTTTTTACTTCCTACTTAAAAGTTATTTTTTGACTGTCATTTTGTAAAATTTATCATTCGAATTGGGTATTATTGCAAAGGTGATGTTCTTTCTACCACTTTCTTGACATTCCTAATGTCTTTTAAGCTGTACATGCAGATCTTTGTAGTGTTTTCTTGATATTTGTCCCTGTCGTAGGCTCTTACTTGAGCTGGATTTTTATTTGCTTAATTTGTGGATAAATATGTTTTGGACTGCTATAAGTGTTTTTTTGTATTTGATCATATATTTTTAATTGCTTGCCTATCAATCATTCTATCCTAGTCCCCTGCTGTAAAGCTTCATATCATTGCTTTAACATTTGCCTTGAGGAAGTTGATTTTTTTTTTCCTGGTGTATGTTTGATGTATAGTTCACATGAAACTATATTACTGTATAATCAAATTATCACCTCAGTATTATCATTCTGGCTCCAGGTCGGTACTTAATTAGCTCGTTCCTCTGCGACAGCATAGAGCCCAAACACTCTAAGATTTGTCAGTCTTTTAACATTTTAAACAATTTTAGAGCTAATTCCTCCATATAATGGGTAGGAGGGTTGACGGACTGACCATGCCATGCCCTTCGGGGCGGAGTGGGTGTTACCGCACTCCTTACACGTGACTTGCTGTCCATTCCCCTCAATTCTGTACTGGGTGCTCGCAGCAGCGCAGGGCCCATTTGAGTTACTGCGTAGTTAGATGAGAAGTGTGTTAAGCATACTTTGTTTGATGCTCAGTCGCTGAGTGAAAAATATCATGGCAGTGCCGCACCTAGGCGGTAAATAGCAGCAGTGGCGGCAAGTGTTGGCACCAAATGGGGTGAAGTATAGCCGCTCAAATCAGGTGTCGTAGCTGCGGTTCCAACCCTGC